TCGGTCATTTTTATTCTTGTCTGTTTTTTGGTAATTTGGTCTTCCGAAATTTATTCTCTTTTATTTTCTCTCTACTTTTTTATTTTATTTTATTTAGTTCGTTTTTTTCATTTCCGTATTTTAGGTTAAATTTTGAGTGTTTTCCTGTTTTTCTCTCTTTTTTTCTTTCTTTCTTGTTTTCTTTTTTCTGTCCCACCAATTTTAGGTAATATAGTATTCTTTTTATCTATTTTATCTTTTATGTTTTTCTGTTTTTAAAGATTTCTAATTCAAAAATATTTTAATCGTGTCTTTGCCTCTCGAACAGTTTTTTTTTTCGTTTGGTTTCGGTAATTTTCTCAAATTTTCTGCTAACCTTTTTCTTCTATATTTTTAGGTTGAATTCCAACTTTTTTTTTCATTTTTTAAGGTTAAATTCCAAGATTTTCTTCCAAATCCATTTTTTTCTTATTTCTTCGAAGTAAAAAATAAATAAATAAATAAATAAAAATAAAAATAAAAAAAATCCTTTTTTTTTCTTTCTCTTTTTTCGGTTAGATTCGACCCTCTTTATTCTTCTTTATTTTTTTATTCTTAACCCCCTTTTTTTCTTTCCTTTTTTTTGAGGGTAGATTCGAACCCCAAACCCCCCCCCCTCCCCCTCCTCCCTCCCGCTCATTCCCCCCTTTTCTTTTATTTTTATTCTTACTCCCTTTTTTTCTTTTCTTTCTTTCTCTTCTTCTTCTTTTTTATTCTTTCCCCTTTTTTTTTTTTTTTTTTTTTTTTTTTTTTTTTTTTTTTTTTTTTTTTTTTTGTTCTCCGTCTGTTCTCTCTCGGCAATTTGATGTTCTCTCTTATAGACGTTACGCGAGCATGCGCAGTCACGCACGCTTGAACGCACCGCCACTCATCGGTATGCTTGCGTGCGTGACTTGCCTGTTCTTGCCATTTCTCTCTGGTTTTGTCTCTTTGTCTCGCTTTATTCTCTCTCTCTCTTTTTATTTGCACTTGCTTCTGTTTATTTCCTTTTGGGGTTTTCTGGTTTCATCTGTCGAGCGCTGTTGAGTCGGAAGTTTTCTGTCTCTTTTGTCTCTCTTTCTGTTTTTTTTTTTTTTTTTCGTTTTCTTTTCTGTCTATATATCTTTTGCTGTATCTCTCTGTCTCTCTCTCCTCTCTCTCTCTCTCTCTCTCTCTCTCTCTCTCTCTCTCTCTCTCTCTCTCTCTCTCCTCTCTCTCTCTCTCTCTCTCTCTCTCTCTCTCTTTCCTTTTCCGTCTATCCCTCTCCTTCCCTCCCTCCCTCCTCCTCCCTCCCTCACCTTCCTCTCTCTCTCCAAATTTTCTATTCCCACACCTCCTCCTCCTCCTCCTTTTCCACAGTCTTTAATCTTCCTCTCTCGTCTCCCTGTCTTTCTCTCGCCATCTTTCTCGCGTCCCTCCCATCTCCTTGCTCCTCTGCACCCACTTATCTCAGTCTTCCTTCAAGAAAAGCGGCAAAGGACAGAAGGGGAAAGAAGGAGGGGAAATGATAAATATGGTGTGTCGCATGCACCAAGAATCTCCATTTCTGGGATTGTACATAATGGGTTGCTTCCCCTCCCTCCCCTCCCTTCCCCTTACCCTCTTTCTTCCCTCCCTCTGTCCCCTACCTTGTCTTTTCTTATTCTTATCTCTGTTTCTCTTTCTGTCTCTGTGCCTGTTCTCTCTCTCTCTTTATTCTTATCTGTCTCTCTGTTTCTGTTTCTGTCTGTCTCCCTCCCTCCCTCCCTCCCTCCCTCCCTCCCTTCCTCCTCCTCCTCCTCCCTCCCTTCCTCCTTTTCTCCTATCTTCTACCCCAATCCCCAGCCCCTCCCTTTTCCCCTCTTCCTTCTTCCCTTCTTCTCTCCTTTTCTCTTCTCCTTTGCCTTATTCTCCCCATCCGCCTCCCATGCACCGTACGGAAAGGATCCATGCGCAGTTAGTGACTCTCTTCTTTTTCCTCTTCTTCCTTCGTTATTTACATCCCTTTCTTATTATCCACCCTCCTCTTGTACCCTCCTTATCCAACGAAAGTAAAAAGAGAATAAATACATACCGTACAGAATGAATAAGAGAGAGAAAAAAGAGGAAAAGAAGAAGCAACACGGCGAGAACTCTGCCCCGCCAGAGCAGTGCGCAAGGCGATGCTCCTCTTGTTTTATCTTGTTTACATTTCGACCTCGGTTCCTGCAGCGCCCCCGACTCCTCCCCGACTCCTCCCCGACTTCCCGTTGTGATGCAGTCCGGGATCGTATATATATATGTATATACCCCCCCCTTCCTCTCCCCTCCTTTTCTTCGTTTCCTCTCTCTTCCCCCTTTTGTGTACTGTTTTCTTGGGAGAATGTGGTCATTTTTGGAAGGAGGGAGAGAAGGAGAGAGGGGAAGAAGGTGGGTTTGTGTGGGCGTGTGGGTATGTGGGTGCGGGTGTGAGTGAGTGAGAGACATAGGCAAAGCCACATGAAAAGGACAGACAGTAAATAGCCTTAAATTAGTAGATATATACATATACGTCTCTAAGTATGTGTGTGCGCATGCGTGTGGATACGTGAGTTTCGCCACGGACGCCGATGCCATAGCCGAATGCGAGGATCCGAACGCGGGCGAGTGGTATGATTCACAGGTGACGTCACTCCTTTGCGGCAGTGAGAAAAACAATAATAAAGAAAACACGTGGGTAGTGGTGATAAGACCCGACTTCCTGTGGTGTATAAGCTTTCTCGGCTGTGTGCAAATTCGGGGGGTCTGTTAAGTTTTAATCTCTCTTGTCTCCTGTTTCGTTCTCTTTCACTTTTTTTTTTCTCTTTTCTCTTCTTTCTAGTTTCTCTATCTTTCTCTTTTCTCTCTTCTCTCTTCTCTCTCTCTCTTCTCTCTCTCTCTCTCTCTCTTCTCTTCTCTCTCTCTCTCTCTCTTCTCTCTCTCTCTCTCTCTCTCTCTCTCTCTCTCTCTCTCTCTCTCTCTCTCTCTTCTCTCTCTCTCTTTCTCTCTCCTCTCTCTCTCTCTCCCTCTCCCTCTCCCTCTCCCTCTCTCTCCTCTCCCTCTCCTCCCTCTCCTCCCTCCCTCCCTTCCCTCTCCCTCCCTCCCTCCCTTCCTCCTTCCCCTCTCCCTCTCCCTCCCTCTCCCTCCCTCCCCTCCTCCCTCCCTCCCTCCCTCTTATCCCCCATCCTCCCTCCTCTCTCCCTCCCTCCCCATTCCTCTCCCTTGCGGTCATATGTCAACTATCACTCCCTCCCTCGCGCTCTGTCCAGGGCGTTGGGAAGAGAGAGGGGCACGCGACGGGTGGGCTTCGAAGAGAGAGAGAGAGAGAGAGAGAGAGAGAGAGAGAGAGAAAGAGAGAGAAAGAAAGAGAGAAGAGAAAGAAAGAGAGAGAGGAGAGAGAGAGAGAGAAGAAAGAAAGAGAGAGAGAGAGAGAGATAAGAGATAAAGAAGAAAGAAAGAAGAGTGAGAGAGGGAGGAGAGAAAGAAAGAAAGAAAGAGTGAGAGAGAGAGAGAGAGAAGAAAGAAAGAAAAGAGTGAGAGAGAGAGAGAAGAAATAAAAAGAGAGAGAGAGAAATAGAAAGACAGACTGAGAAGAGAGAGAGATACCAAGACGCAGACACACACACGAACATGGGGAAAGAAAGAGGAACAAACGGACAGACAGACACAGACGGAAGACACACACAGCGTCCGTGGCTGAAGGATCGGGGCAAGAGGCTGCCATTCTGTGTACCTGCAATCTGTGTTGAGGATGTCATTGTCTGTTCTTATGGTCGGCTTTCTTAGTCGTCTAGGGCCTGGTGTGTGTCTTAGTTTTTTTTATTATTATTGTACGTCTTCTCATCTCACGTCTCTCTGGTTTTCTTCTTCTTCTGTGTGTGTTTTTTTTTTATGTTGGTTTGTCTTTTTCTGTCTCTGTGTGTTTTTTTCTCTTTTGTTCTCGCTCTCTGTCTGTCTGTCTGTCTCTCTCTGATCTCTCTCTCTCTCTCTCTCTCTCTCTCTCTCTCTCTCTCTCTCTCTCTCTCTCTCTCTCTCTCTCTCTCTCTCTCTCTCTCTCTCTCTCTCTCTCTCTCTCTCTCTCCTCTCTCTCCTCCTCTCCCTCCTCTCCTCTTCATTATATTTCAAACCTCCCTCTCCCCTTCCCCTTCTTCCTTCTCCCTTTTCTCCTTCCTTCTCCCTTCCCCTTCTTCCTTCTCCCTCCTCTCCCCTTCTTTATCTAGCGCTTCTACCACGAAGGTTCAATCAAATTTTTCCCTAGTATTCGAATCCCTTCTATTTATGGAGTTTCACTGCTTTTTGTCTCTGTGTGAATGGATGAAATGTTAGACTAGTGCTTACCCATTATTTACCCATTACCCATTACCCATTGGAGTTAACTGATTTGTCTATTGCTGAAAATCATCCATGACCGTTATCCATTGTGATTTTAATCCATTTATTTATTATTCATCTTTTCAATTTATTACATTTTTTATTGGGCTATTATTGTGTTATTATTATTGTTATTATCATTATTATTATTATTTTTTTTCTTTTCTTTTATTATATTTAGTTTTCTTATTTTCTCTTTTTCTGGATTGCAGATTGATGATGAGATGAAGAAAGAGAAGAAAGAAGGAGAAGAAGAAAGGGTGGAGGCCTTATCCCTTATCCCCCTCCCCCCCCCCCTTGTTCAGAAATGAACTTGAAATATGTCATGAAAATAACTGTCATAACCGACCGGGTGATTTCAAAAATCCTCCTGGGAAAAAAAGTCGTTAACTGGATCGTTTCAAACTACCATTGTCTAACCTAACGACCAACTAAAGGAAGAAAATAATAATCAGCAGTTTGGTAGTTCGTTCTATTTCCTCCCCTTCCCACTTTCTTTCCCCCTCCTTCCCCCTCCTCTTCCTCCCCCTTTGTTTCTTTCTCTCTCTCTCTCCCTTTTCCCATTTTTCTCTCCCTCTTCCCTTTCTCTCTCCCTCTTTCATCCCCTCCTCTCTTTTCCCCCTCTCCCTTTTCTCCCTTCCTTTCACTCTTCTCCC